TATATATAATACACCATGGTTTATATATTTATGTAAATTGTGTTTTTCTACTTACAATAAAACACTTGGAATTCTAATCTAAACGGTAAGTTGTATTATTTTCAGTAACTGGAGGCGATAGCTCCGATGTTCTTATCATTTAATGTGTAGATATTGATGATAGATAGTGAGAAAACAAACATTTTTACACAATCAACATTAATAAATCACTGTACATTTTTTGCAGCTTAGATTTGACATCATCATTAGACAGGAGAAGAATTTTCTCTCTCCAGCGAGGACTAGTGATGTTATCATCAACAGACGGTAACTCCCTCACAATCACCCCCTTTTTGGGAATTCAACACAAAAACGCTACAAACAAGAAATATAATTAAATGTAAATTAAATTAATGTGTAATTGGGATATTTTATGGAGCTCTACCTTAAATATAAACAAACTCAACTTTGGGAGATTTCATTGGATGTGTGATTGTGAACCTCATGGTTTGGAACGAGGTTCATACAAGGTCACGAGCCACTAAGTAGYACGAATCAGTGAGTAAAGAATCTGAAAACATTATTGGTGTTGGAGATTCATTTGTTATCAGCTCGAGCATAAAAACGCTGTGTTTCAGTCACTTAATGTTTTAATTGGCACAAATAAAATACTGAAGGTAGCAAAGGTGGTTTCCGTCAGCTGAAGTGTAGATTGTTTAACTTGTGTGTTTTTGCTCTTGCTCTTTGTTCATCCTGTTTTCAGAAAGAAGAATTAGGCAGAGAGTGAGAGTAACGCCTGCTTCATATTCACTTGTTTTGAATTGGACGTGCAGGTGCGTGTGTGTGGTTGACAGGAATGTGCTGGGTACTGTAATTGAGAGATAAGATCACAGCAGAGAGCTTGGGCGCTGAAAGACATATTCAGAGGTGATGATACTGAGAAAGACAATCCTCAGTCATACTCCTCCATCTCTCAGGTGTGCTCCAACTGACCCATTTTCAAGCCCTGACAGCTTTCTACAATACAAAATGTCCAACGTGGTATTTATTTCCCTCTGCCTGAATTTGTTATGAGTATTTTCTTATAACTACAAACTAGTAATGTTTTTACTGTAGTATGTGCCATTCTTGCTAATCATATTTTTCATGAGCCGTATTTTAGTGTCATCCTGTTGTGGAAATCCCATGAAGCTATTCAATGAAGAAACTGAAGAACTGTTAAAAGCTGCATTTATTATTAGATCTACATTTAAAAGCTTTTTAAAAGCATTAGTTTAGAAGAGCCATGTGCGAGGTCCAAAGAGCCTCTTCCAAACTGGGCATTTAAAATGTTGCAGCCAAAGGCTAACTGTGAAATGTGTGTCCACTACCTCCCAGAAATCTTGAGTACACTGTCTCTCTTGTTTCTGGTGCCTGTCGTGGTCGTGACACGACGCCACTGACACGACTGAAGAACATGGATTCAATTATGACTCTTTTGTTGTATTTTGTTCTGCTTTATTTTTTGTTTGTATTAAAATATGGAAATAACCAATAAACATTGTAAAAATATTTACAAAAAATGACAAACCTTTCAAAGTGAATGTAAGAATAACAAGTAAAAAGTAAAATGTGTATCGCAATAAAACATGTATATTAAGATGGTTACACTCAGAGGTACAGAACATGTGACGTGATTAAGAAGATGCAAACACTGCAGACTGAGTCACTCTCTAAGTCATGACACACTGGATTATCAATAACATGATAAAAATCTTCAGGTAAAGTTTTTAGATCTCGTCAGTGTTTATTAGCATTGGGAGGGAGGGGGGCTGATATGAACAGATCCCTGATCAACAGCATAAACATTATTATGACCCCCRCACGCGAA